CTTGGCAAAGGTAACTTACACTTCTTTCATGGCTCCATCAGTGCAGAACAATACAAAGAGATGCTGGAGCAACATCTGCTGCCTTCAAGACACCCGTTCATATTTCAACAAGACAATGCAAAACCTCATCCTGCACATTACTAAGGCCTGGCTGTGGAGGAAGAGGGTGTGAGTGCTGGACTGGCCTGTCTGCAGTCCCCACCCGTCCCCAGTAGAGACTATTTGGTGCATTTTGAAATGCAGATTGCCTCAAGGAAGACCCTGGACTGTTGCACACCTTAAGACTTGGTTGCAGGTAAAGTGGGACAAAATGAAACCTGACACATCACTTGGTGTCCTCAGTCCCTAAATGTCTTCGAAGTGTTGTGAAAAGGAACGGCAACACACTGTGGTAAATACTTTACTGTCCCAACATTTTTGGAATGTGTTGCAGCATCAGAATTGAAGTGAGTGTTTACTTTGAACAAAGAATACAATTGATGAAGTATTACATCAAATATTGTGGTGCTGTACTGTTTTCAAAGTAATACAAATGATTTACACATCACATTCAGCTTTAATTTTGATTTTACATACTGTCCCAACTTTTTCTGATTTGGGGTTGTAAATGAAACAGAATAAGGCTGCTCTTATTGTCACTAGACACATGCCAGATGTAATCGTTCTCTTGTCACTGCAGTGGTTAGATTAATTATTCACAACCACTGTGGTTACATTTTCTTAGGTCATTGTTCAAGTTTTTTTATTTTTACATTTTATGTAAATTCAAAAACCTTTAGAGACAAACACAAAGTAGTTTGATTCAATTACAATAATAAAATATGAATTAAACCAAAAATGATATCAATAATAAGGTAGAAACAAGAATAAGAGTTCTTAGTCATGCAAACATGCCATGTACTGTATATCATCACAACTTGTCTAAATGCTAACATGTTGATATTTAGCAGGAATAGTGGTTATCATGTTCACCATCTTAGTTTTAGTGTTATCATGCTAACATTTGCTAGTGAGTGTAAAACATAAACAACTGAGGCTGATAGGAATGCTGTTAGATTTTCTGGTTTTTGGTCATTAACCAAATTGAAGTTTGACCAGATAATGCCAGCTTCTCTCAGAACACCTCTCCTCCTGTGGAAATGGGCTCAACGTAACCGTAACTCTCTCAGTTTTTCAAATGATGTATTTATTTCCAGCTTGACCGCTCTTGGCTACAGCTTGGTCCTTTCAGGCTCTCTCAGGTGAAATCTGTGGGACAGTTTTGCCATTGCTTCTTTCTACCACCCCGTGTAATCACACACACAAACAGATCTGCTTCATATAAGGTGCAGATAAGGCTGCAGCAACTCTGACATGCACAAATATAATCCAGACACAGGAGCAGGTTTTGCTGGTGTCCCAAAACAACAAACTGCAAAAATACTCCACCTATGAAATCTGAAAACATACTTTCATGGTAACTCCGAGCACAGCTTTGGAATTAAACACAGGTATAACAACAAACTTACACTATGCTATTAGAATACATCCCTCATTGCAGCTCAGTGGGGAATTAGGAAAATATCCTAGGACCATTGATTACAAAAATGATGGACAGGCTAAGAGCTCACAGAAGGTACACCTCCAAAAGTTGATTGCCACCTGGTGGCTGCTTTCAGTATAGCTCATGTTTCCTGTCTCCATGTTAGTAGATAGGTCATAAAAACTCAAAATACAAATCTTTTTTTTTTTTTTTTTACCAGAGGTCACTTATGAGGTTTTTGGTAAATATTATCACACTGATGTGTGTACAAGTGGTCATTTTTTTCATAGGTTATTTGATAGCATAAAAAGGGGTGTATTTCAGTTGATTTGACAGCTTTTATTGGCTGTCACTCCTCTTCTGGTCACTACTGCACAGAATCTGGTTGCAAAAACACAAGATGGCAGCCAGTGTGTTCATGATAGTTTGGCTTCATTTTTGCATTGTGGAGGGAAGTGGTGACATCTTGTCCACTGCATATGTCAATGTCTGGGATACAAAAAAGGGAAATTTGTAACTGTAACTATGAAAAATATTGACTTAGATTATCTTAGTGGAATAACTGAAGCTCTATTTGAGCCTCAGACAAACATTAGAGAGCATTTTTACACAGAACTAGGGCTGTGTATTTTGTCCCTCATTTCTTACAAAGTAGTCATGTTCCATGTTGGAACCTTCAGGGTCGCTGTGGAGAGTAGGAAGAGTTACAACAACTAAGACCTATTCTTATGTACAGTACATATGAGCATGTAAAGACTGATTTAAGACCAACTTGAAAAATCTTGAACCTATCCTTTAAAACCATACTCACATGTGCTCTATGTACATTGAAACAGGTTTTGCAGGCTGTTATGGTTCCTCCTATTCTTGCTGGCTATTAAGAGATCATTTAACATGTTTCCAGTTGAAGGGATGGGGGACAAAATCCACAGTCCTTGTTCTGTGCAAACATGTATTCAAAAGTTTATCTGAAGTCAGTATGAGGCATAGGAGGAGTTAGACAAATAAAGTGGATATCTCTCAAAGTTAGGCTTTTGTGTACAAACACCCTGTTCTTGCTTGCACTGTATCCTTGCTGAGCCATGGCAAAGGGTTATAAACCTATCATTTAACCCCAAAGCCACAGGTGTCTCAGGTGTGCCAACAGAACAGCTTCAGTGCACCTTGGCATCGACTGTGTTTACATGCAGTAACCAGGTCACTGAGAGAAACCAGGTTACAGCCAAAATCAGATAACACGTTACGTCAGGTTAACGTCAGGTTACTCAAAAACCCCAGTATACATAAGATCCTAGGTAATCTGAGATGCCCCCCTACCATGTCATTACCCGACTGCATCCTCCCAAGAACAAAGATGGACCCAGCAGAGACATGGCAAAGAAATCTACCTGGGGAAATCATGGTTACCCTAATCCCCTACCCCGATTCTGGAAACCAGGTTTCCCGTTTACGTGACAGCTAAGAAATCATCTTACATGAGAAAGCCAATTGTAACCTGGTTACTTAAGTGCATAAATGCAATCATTGGCTCTCCAAGTCTCTCAATTCTATTGGAGGGATGAACACCATTCTTCCAAAAGCTGTTCACTCATGTGGTGCTTTGATGATGGCGGTGGAGATGCTGTCTAAAGCGATGCTCCAAAATCTCCCATAGGTGTTCAGCTGGGTTGAGATCTGGTGACTGTGAAGGCCACATCATGTGATTCACATCATGTTCATCATATACGGTAGTTTAGTTGTAGTATGTTTTATGGTCCGAGCTACAGTCCCTCCACCACATGTTAACAGTAATATTTTAACTTACATAACAGCTTCCCTCCCTTTTACACTGAGTGTACTTGCTGTTGTGTGGAGGTGACACTAGAGCTCAAGTGTCTATTCAAGTGTTGAAGGCCTCAGATACAATCAGCCTCACATAGATTTTCCTCAACAGTGTAATCCCATGGAGCAGACTGGCAGCTCGGCAGCCTGCCTGTACATGCCTGCTCTGTGCTGCTGTCACCACGCCTTCAGGCCCAAACAGCACAGTTACCCAGCATTCAGTGACAGAGTTCAAGGCAGGCAGTGGTGTTTAGCAAGGCTTTAATTTGACTGATTCTGATGTCTGTCAACAATAGGCTGTCTGATGCACTATCTTCATGTAAACATGTTAGGCTATAGTTATCCCACTATAAATCTTACAAAGGTATTGATCCAGTGAAATAAAAATGCAAATATGAAAGTCAACACAGAGTCACTATTTGGATTATAGCCACACTTTTAGCCCCTGTAGGAGGATTGTAACAGTAGGGGGATGTGTCAGATAATAACAATTGTCAGTCTCAGGTATAATTCATATCACTTGAGCTTTGATTCTGTGGAAGTGAAAGGGAAAATCCTCCCGAAAGGATAAGTGCTGCTTGTAAATTTGCTACGAGTGATGAATGGCAGCAGAAAGTGGAGCGAGGAATGCAGAAACCCACCTAACCACCTCCCACAGGCTGCTGGGAGAGCAGGCACACACTTGCGACCCAACCGACCTGCCCCAGGAAGAGGTGGCACTGTGCAGTTCGACTACAGGCTCACGCTGTGCATTACTCTTGACAGGGGTATAGTCCAACTGCTCTCCATTAAATGGATATCTGAATAATGGAATACTCCTGTGTGTGTAGGTTAACACTGGTCATATACCTGTATCTGTCTTAACTTCATAACTTGATATAGATTTTTTGGGCTCAATGAAGCTGAGTTTCTCTATTAAATTCATCACTGTTTTTCTTGCCTTCACCCAGTCATCAGTGCTGATTAAAATAAGGATGCAGGTCAAACATTTCCTTTAGGGTTTCCAAAGCCAAAATTTGTTTGGTTTCATCATTTTTTTTTTTTTGTTGCTATTTGAAAGAAAATTAGCACCCTGAGTTTTACACACTTCCCAAAAAAATCTCAATGACATGTTTCCAGAATCTTCTTATGTAAGGCTCATCAGAACAGCTCTTCTAAAACTGGGTGAGGGACATCAGGGCGAAATAACAGGCAGGGGATCTGATCATTTATAAAAACAAATTACAAGTGACACCAATTTCATAAACTTTTTCTACAGGCTTTACATCAGTAGTATAGTCACATTCCCACCATCCATTAAATATATGAGTCTTATACATAAAACTTCCCTTTCACAACTGCAATGTCATTTTCAATCATGAATAAGTTTTGCCAATATGAAAACATGTTAGGAAAGACCGCGCTGTTTCCTTTTTGTAAGCTTCCTTGCGGGGGGATGCAGTGGTGCTGGTAAGTTATTAAATCTGGGGGAGACAGAGAAAGTGAGTGTGTGTGGATAGTTAACAATTAACCTGGACGTCCACTGGGCTGGAGGGACAGAAGACAGAGGAAGGTGATGTAAAGATGAGGAGAAACAGGAGGACAGGTGAATGGTAAGAGCGGAGATGAAAAGAGTGACAGATGTAGTCCACTCTCTAAAATCACGGTGAGGACTTACAGCCAGTTGCTCGCGTGGGCAGAGAGGAGCACACAGCAGAGCATCAGGACGCACCGCAAAACATATTCCTGGGTCATCTCGAGGGGGGTGCAGGGGCGGTCAGTGAGAGCTGAAATAATCCCGAGGTGGACAGGGGGTCGGCGAAGGGGGGAAAAAGCAGCGGCAAGGTCTGGAGAAAGCTGTTAATCCATCGTCCCGCATCCGGTGGATCATCCACCAGGGAGGCACGAACTTCACTGTCTGTCCGACTGGTTCTCCCGGCCCTCCCTCTGCCACTTCGTCAGACCGAGGGAGAGAAGAGGAACGCTTAAAAGAGTCGATTCGAACCCTTCTTTTAAATCAACTTGTTTGATTTCTTTCTTAGCTGCGCGTCAACTCCAGCCGAGAGAACGCGTGGAGAGGCAGTGAAATAAACGCCAAAAGAGCGTGCTCCCAGGCAGCTCTTCCTCCTCCTCTCGGAATGATTATCAACCGATGCCGGGTCCCGCTCCCAGATAAGCGGGACTCTCCTGTCAGCGCGCCGCGAACTCTTGAGCTCTCTCCCAACACATGCACACACTGAGCGTAAATACGCACGGCCCCTCCTCACACACCAGCCTCTCTCGGTGAGTCTGCTGACTTTAGTTGAGGGGCGGTGCGAGGATATAGAGGTATGGCAGCGGGATGGGAGTTTGGGGGATGAAGGAGGCGGATTTGGTGCGCTGCTAAAGGTACTGTGTGTGCGTGTGTAGACGGGACTATGTGTGTGTTTTAAAGGTCTCTTGGGAGGATGCAATAGCACAGTCATTCACTAATGCCCTCCCCAGCCATCGTCAACTCCTCTCCCACACACACATACTGTAAATACAAAAAAAAAACCTCCAACCGCTCATACGTCTTGGCAGCACTCACAACACTCACTCTCCCTGTCACACGCTCAACCAAATATGTTGCGGTCCATGGGCTATTTAAAGCTTGGCTGCAAAATGTCTGTATTTAAAACCAGCAAATCCCAATAATATGACAAATGTCCGCTTCACACCACTGGCTGATGAAAACGATGGAGGATAATAAGGTGAGGCAGCCACGCTGGCCTCATGTAACACCACCAAGGGCTCTGTGTGACTCACCTGGTCCTGGCGAGGTAGAGAACTGAAGACTGTAAGATGATACCTAAAATATTTACAAAGAAGAAATCGGGCTATTCATCGTACAGGCTGCATGGGCCCATCACTGCATAGTTCCATGTTTTTTCATACCCACGTGAATTTATTTTTAACAGCAGAGAGGATCCCAAGGTTTCCAAATACACCAAATATGTCAGGCTGAATTATGGGGAGAGGTGTATAGAAACATGCAAAAACATGTAGAGTATTTCTTCTTTACATGCTGCAGCTATAAGAAACTTGTTAACTTTGAGTGTTCATAGACTACAAGCAATTACTGCTGCCCGACTGAAATGATAAAACAAGCAGGCATAGAATAAAGATATTATACAGGGATTATATGGGATTACATGGGAAGTTATTTAAAGGAAAAATAAAGGTAAAGATATTTTTCTCCCCAAAGTGCACAAGTTTATATCACTTTAATGAGCCCAGAAAGACATTTAGCTTGTATAAGCAGTACATATTGAATGAATGGTTTATAATACACTATAATGTTAATGTATTTCAGTATCTAGGATATAACTCCTCCTGAGAACACCCACTGGTGGAAGGTGCAGTATAAACAGAAAGTGAATGGAAACAACTGAAATAATGTCTTTATACAGGATGCTATAATTTCTGACAAACCTTGTAGCCTACATTAAGAAATATTTACAAATGTTTAAAATGCTTATAGTATTGCTTATAAGTGCTACATAAAGGGTTACCATATACTGTAATAGACACCAGATACTGTAGATCACATTATATATATATATATAAGCAATATATATTATTATATTATATATTAGCAATAGAGTATAGTGTATTATGTATACAATCATGTGTGTATATTGTATTATTGCATTATATAAGAGGCACAAATATTTATGATATATCACAGTATATTACTATACTACTAACATTACATTATATTGTAGCCTAATACAGAATCTAAAGTAATGTCATTGTATGATATAATGAATATAATTCAGTATTAGGTTGATACAATGTTCAGCATACACGTTTAACTGTATGAGAGCAGCAGCTGAATTCCCAGTTTGGAGCAGCAGAGGAATATGGTCGATGAAAACAGACTGCGGTTAACTGATGCAGTTATGTCACTTCATAATCAAACTAAATGCATGACAAAACTTAATATGCATGCATAGGCTCTGCTTGGGATTTATTCAAGTCATATAACATATAATAAATAAATAACATATAAAAATGTCACAGCAAGTATATAAACAGAACAAACCTAACAAAACTAGACATTAACATGTCTGCTCTGGTAACCCCACTGACCTGCTGCTGGGGGAGAGACATACAGACTTGTGCTTGTTCAAACTTACAGAACTTTAAATTCTACCACATTCGAGTAGAGATTCCAAAGATACAAACTATGGCAGGCTCAGTTAAAAAAACATATTTAGAAAATGACAAAACATGAAGAATATTTTCACTTGATGGAATTGTGCAGCCATAAAAACAGGTTTGTATATGTACAGTGTCAATGAAAAGCTGGTTCATACAAAATGTTAAGACCATGGGTTTTCAAGCTTCTGACGTGGGAAATGAGGTTGAAAATTATATGTTGAGGGCAATGAATATGCATGTTAATATATGACATCAGTGCTGTTTTTAGTGACAACACACAGATGACTTACAGACAGGAAACTTCAGCAGCAGTAGCCACGCTTCGCATATGGGCTCAGTCGTAAGCGGGTGTGTGTGTCTGTGTGTGGTTGGTGGTGGTGGTTGAGGTTTGGGTTATGTGTGTGTGTGTGTGTGTGTGTGTTGTCTAATCTCATTTCACTTATTGAGTTTTAGGGAGCTAAGAATACACCCTGCTTTGATGAGGCGCTCCAGCCACGCCACCAGCTGTGTGTGGTGTGGCTCCTGGCTAACCGAAACACAAACACACCCCAACACCCACACACACACACACACACACAGACTCAGAGCTGTGCTTGCATCACTTCAGGGAACATTACATTGATTTTCTGGAGACTTACCCTCACGCTTAACCATAACCATTACTTGCCTAACCCTTATCCTTCACCTAACCTTAACCTTTAAGAGTTGACCCCACCCCCGACATACACACACATGTAAAGATAAACGTGTATTGATCCCTGGGGAGATTTTGCTGCTTCAGCCAACCTAAATTCATTCAGCACTAGAAAAAAAAGTGGAATCTGAGCCCAGAAAGTACGAACAAAACTCCGACAACAGTATCTGACAATGGGCTATAAAGTTTTCTCCTTGTCTGATCAGAAAATTACCAGGCTCTTAGATTAGATTAGATTAAACTTTATTGTCATTACACATGTAGAAGTACAAGGCAACGAAATACAGTTTAGCATCTAACCAGAAGTGCAATAGTGCACAATGCTCTTCAGTAAAGGCCAAACCATCAAAGCTCCTGGACAGCAGAGCGGCACTGGTGTGGGAACCTGCTGACCTACATTCTGGGCTGTCAGTTTCTTCCACACTTCATCTGCGACTGAAACTGTTTCTGCTTCAGAGTGAGACATATGGCACCTGCACTGAGCTCAGGGTCTGTGTAAAACATACTGCACATTACAGAGTGATTACGAGAGCTGCCGCCATTCAGTCTGCCACTCTGAAGGCTTCAGTGTCCAGTGGTGAAGTGAAATGCAATGAATGACATTCCATGAATGCATCCAGGTCACTTTCCAGAGGTCACCTGTATCAGCTCTGTAGCAGATTGACCAACAGAGGGGGGAAGAGAGTAAAAGAGCTTACCGATGATCAGCAGGGAATCATATATTCATAGACTGCTCTTACACGACTGAAATCTACTTTATTATCATACCAACATCTTAGACAGCAGAGGTGCAACACAGCCTCATTTGTAATTGTAAGAAAATACACTGTGGAGACTTACTGTTTAAAACATATTTGGAGAACATAAATTGTATCCACATGAATGAAAAAATAGCATATATTACAATATTTGTATTTTCTATATTTAACACTTTAAATATTTTAAAATGACCATACATTTTTTTTATTATGAATCTCTACCAAACAGTTCAGTTGTCAATTTGTGGAAAAAGTGCATTGTCAACAATCTGCATTAATATTTCTGTTATGTAAAATGAAATAAAACACTTAAGACACTTTTAGTTACACATATGGACAAGAGCAATGTGCAAAACCTGATACATAAAACTTTACCTATAACATAAACAGGAACCATTTTTAATTTAGTATAAATAAAATGAAGTGACTATTTGGTAACAACAACAAGACAATGTTTTAATTTCATCTTCAATGACGGGTCCGCCACTTGAGAGCTGGATTGGGGGGGTTATAGCACGTTTTGTATGTAGCTGCTAAAAGAGCTTAATTAATGATAAATTAATCTCTCATGGAATTCTAAAACATTTTTAGCATTATCATTGGCAATTAACGCCAAATCAGCCAGGACTGAAATCTTAAGGATTCTAACTCTAAATACTAATTATAAACTGGTTTTCTCCTTTACATAAAGGAAGGAATTTAATTATTTTTAAAATATAAGTCCCAGTGTCAGTGCACAGATAGAGGTTTTGACTGAATTCCCAGTTTGGAGCAGTGAACTGAACTGAAGTGAGCTGTTGTATTTACTGTATCCTGATGTGTCCTCTGTTGCACATATTCACCATCAAATATAATTTGCACAGAACACCCAAGCATGCGAGCACTCGCTCCAACTCTCAGCAGCTTCATCCCACCACTTCCCCTCCAGCACCGTGTGTGTTCTTACTGACTCCTGTTCAGTTTGTTGAGTGAAATTGCTGCGAGCATGTGCCACTGCTGAGGGCGCACACACTTGTGCATGTTCCAAGTCTGTTTCTCACACACACACTACTGCCTGTGAAAGAAATGATTATCCCCCACAGAGCCCCAGACATCTGGGCTCGCTACACACAGCATGCAAGCAGCCCACACACACTCACACATGCACATCCTGCATGTGATTGTGTGTGACAGATAATGACTGAGACAGAGAGATGGACAGGCATGGACAGTGTGTGTTCTCACTGGACACATGGAATACAGCAAAAGGGGGTCAAGAAACAAAAGCCCCCCACCCCCCCACCCCCATCGCTATGGCAACAGGAGCTGGCACACATGCCCGGCACAAAGGCATTTTGGGAGAGCACAGGTTTTATATTGCTCCTGGCTTTACACTCCTGTGCCATCACCCCGGTAACACTAATGCTGCTCAGCCCTCTAACATTTACTCTTGGACAACACACACAGTCATGCACAAATGAACTAATACACACAGGCAGACACAGACAGTGTGTGACCTCTGGAAGAGTTATGACAAGTCCGACAAGTGTCTTCCTCTTTCTCTCTTGCTGTTTCCCACTGTTTCCTAAGGTCTCTAGCTCTCTTTTGTAGATGAGCCTCATACAATGCAGACAGAGGGAAGAGATGTTTG